GTAAGCAGTGGGGTACCGCAGGGATCAGTACTTGGTCCACTGCTTTTTAACTTGTTCATTAATGATTTGGAGATGGGAGTAAGCAGTGAAGTGGCTAAATTTGCGGATGATACAAAGTTGTTCAGGGTGGTGAAAACCAGTGAGGATTGTGAGGCACTCCAAGGGGATCTGTCAAGGATGGGCGAGTGGGCGTCAACATGGCAAATGGGGTTCAATGTGGCCAAGTGCAAGGTGATGCACATTGGAGCCAAAAATCCTAAATATAAATACACATTGATGGGGTCTGAACTGGCAGAGACTGAGCAAGAGAGAGATCTTGGAGTTGTAGTGGATAACTCACTGAAAATGTCGAGACAGTGTGTGACTGCAATAAAGAAGGCCAATGCTATGCTGGGGATTATTAGGAAGGGTATTGAAAACAGATCAGCCAATATAATAATGCCCCTATATAAATCAATGGTGAGACCTCATTTGGAATACTGTGTGCAGTTCTGGGCACCACACCTTAAAAAGGATATTATAGCTTTGGAAAAAGTGCAGAAAAGGGCAACTCGAATGATAAAAGGGTTGGAACACTTTCCCTATGAGGAAAGGTTAAAGCGCTTAGGGCTCTTTAGCTTGGAGAAAAGACGACTGAGGGGTGACATGATCGAGGTTTATAAGATTATGCATGGGAAAGAGCAGGTAAAGAAAGAGGTACTTTTCTCCCTTTCTCACAATACAAGAACTCGTGGGCACTCCATGAAACTGCAGAGCGGTCGGGTTAGAACGGATAAAAGGAAGTACTTCTTCACCCAAAGAGTGATTAACACATGGAATTCACTGCCACAGGAAGTGGTGGGTGCTACAAGCATGGACGGCTTCAAAAGGGAATTAGATAAGCATATGGAGCAGAGGTCCATCAGTGGCTATTAGCCACAAGGTATAGCTAGGGGCTCTGGGGCAAGTGATGCTCTGTCTTCTTGGTGCTTGGGGGGGGGGTCAACAGTGGGAGGGCTTCTAATGTCCTGGCCCCACTGCTGGACCTCCTGATGGCACTGGTATTTCTGGCCACTGTGTGACACAGAGTGTTGGACTGGATGGGCCTTTGGCCTGATCCAACATTGGCGTCTCTTATGTTCTTATGTTCTTAAATGTAGGAGCAGGACCAGGGTACTTTAATCCATCAGGGAGAGCAGAGGTCCATCAGTGGCTATTAGCCACAAGGTATAGCTAGGGGCTCTGGGGCAAGTGATGCTCTGTCTTCTTGGTGCTTGGGGGGGGTCAACAGTGGGAGGGCTTCTAATGTCCTGGCCCCACTGCTGGACCTCCTGATGGCACTGGTATTTCTGGCCACTGTGTGACACAGAGTGTTGGACTGGATGGGCTATTGGCTTGATCCAACATGGCTTCTCTTTTATGTCATGTCTGGGGCAGTGATGCTCTGTATTTATGGTGCTTGAGGGGGCAAGAATGGCAGGGCTTCTGGAGTTCTGGCCCTGCTGGTGGACCTCCTGATGGCCCCTGGGGTTTGGCCACTGTGTGAGACAGAGTTATGGACTAGATGGACCGTTGGCCTGATACAACACTGGCTTCTCTTATGTTCTTATGTCTGGAGCAGTGATGCTCTGTATCCTTGGTGCTTGGGGGGGAAGAGTGGGAGGGCTTCTGGAGTTCTGGCCCTGCTGGTGGACCTCCTGATGGCCCCTGGGGTTTGGCCACTGTGTGAGACAGAGTTATGGACTAGATGGACCGTTGGCCTGATACAACACTGGCTTCTCTTATGTTCTTATGTCTGGAGCAGTGATGCTCTGTATCCTTGGTGCTTGGGGGGGAAGAGTGGGAGGGCTTCTGGAGTTCTGGCCCTGCTGGTGGACCTCCTGATGGCCCCTGGGGTTTGGCCACTGTGTGAGACAGAGTTATGGACTAGATGGACCGTTGGCCTGATACAACACTGGCTTCTCTTATGTTCTTATGTCTGGAGCAGTGATGCTCTGTATCCTTGGTGCTTGGGGGGGAAGAGTGGGAGGGCTTCTGGAGTTCTGGCCCTGCTGGTGGACCTCCTGATGGCCCCTGGGTTTTGGCCACTGTATGACACAGAGTGTTGGACTGGATGGGCCATTGGCCTGATCCAACATTGGCTTCTCTTATATGTCCTTATGCCTGCTCGCCCACCCGCAGTGCACTCCAGGAACGCTTTCCCTGCAGAAAACCGAGGAAGAACTCCAAGGCCTCTGGTTGTGACACCAGCACAGGTTGGGTCTTTTAGGCAACGGAGTGGGAAGGCGTCTCCGAACACAGGCTCCCTGGTACTGCGGAACCCCGGAGAGGCCCCACCGGAAGATCCAGCTCCCATCGCCACACTTCCCCCCCAGCCATGTTGGGATATGGAAATGGGATGGACGTGCGCATGCTTGGAGGAGAGGAATATGTATGGTCTTACTCATGCCCACTGCCAGGGCTGGTGCTGCGTTCTGGTGGGCCCTGGGCGGGGGAGTGCCAGGGAGTCCCCCTCTCCTCTGGCCCCCACTCACATTTCCCCGCCTTTTCTTCCCGCTCCGCCCACCCAGGCATCCTTCCCCAGCCCTCCACATGAACAACAGAAGCGGTCTCGTACTGAACTAGAACCAGTGGCATCTCTCCAGGGTCTCAGGCGGAGGTCTTTCCCATCCCCTCCTGCCTGCTCCTTTTTGCTGGAGATGCCGGGGACTGAACCTGGGACCTTCTGCATGCCAAGTAGAGGCTCTGCCACTGAGCCACAGCTCCTCTTTACAGCTCTCCAGGGTCTCAGGCGGAGGTCTTTCCCATCCCCTCCTGCCTGCTCCTTTTTGCTGGAGATGCCGGGGACTGAACCTGGGACCTTCTGCATGCCAAGTAGAGGCTCTGCCACTGAGCCACAGCTCCTCTTTACAGCTCTCCAGGGTCTCAGGCGGAGGTCTTTCCCATCCCCTCCTGCCTGCTCCTTTTTGCTGGAGATGCCGGGGACTGAACCTGGGACCTTCTGCATGCCAAGTAGAGGCTCTGCCACTGAGCCACAGCTCCTCTTTACAGCTCTCCAGGGTCTCAGGCGGAGGTCTTTCCCATCCCCTCCTGCCTGCTCCTTTTTGCTGGAGATGCCGGGGACTGAACCTGGGACCTTCTGCATGCCAAGTAGAGGCTCTGCCACTGAGCCACAGCTCCTCTTTACAGCTCTCCAGGGTCTCAGGCGGAGGTCTTTCCCATCCCCTCCTGCCTGCTCCTTTTTGCTGGAGATGCCGGGGACTGAACCTGGGACCTTCTGCATGCCAAGTAGAGGCTCTGCCACTGAGCCACAGCTCCTCTTTACAGCTCTCCAGGGTCTCAGGCGGAGGTCTTTCCCATCCCCTCCTGCCTGCTCCTTTTTGCTGGAGATGCCGGGGACTGAACCTGGGACCTTCTGCATGCCAAGTAGAGGCTCTGCCACTGAGCCACAGCTCCTCTTTACAGCTCTCCAGGGTCTCAGGCGGAGGTCTTTCCCATCCCCTCCTGCCTGCTCCTTTTTGCTGGAGATGCCGGGGACTGAACCTGGGACCTTCTGCATGCCAAGTAGAGGCTCTGCCACTGAGCCACAGCTCCTCTTTACAGCTCTCCAGGGTCTCAGGCGGAGGTCTTTCCCATCCCCTCCTGCCTGCTCCTTTTTGCTGGAGATGCCGGGGACTGAACCTGGGACCTTCTGCATGCCAAGTAGAGGCTCTGCCACTGAGCCACAGCTCCTCTTTACAGCTCTCCAGGGTCTCAGGCGGAGGTCTTTCCCATCCCCTCCTGCCTGCTCCTTTTTGCTGGAGATGCCGGGGACTGAACCTGGGACCTTCTGCATGCCAAGTAGAGGCTCTGCCACTGAGCCACAGCTCCTCTTTACAGCTCTCCAGGGTCTCAGGCGGAGGTCTTTCCCATCCCCTCCTGCCTGCTCCTTTTTGCTGGAGATGCCGGGGACTGAACCTGGGACCTTCTGCATGCCAAGCAGAGGCTCTTCCACTGAGCCACAGCCTTTCCCTGTGTTCATACAATCTTCCCCCAGAAACCCTGGGCAGCATGTGCTCGCTTTATACCCCACCTGGCGGTTGGCAACGCTAACACTGATACTGGCCTTGGCGAGTGCTACCGGCCTTCTGCGACCCACCGTTTAGACTGCCGGACCTTTTAAGAAACCGTTGAGACAGCTTAAAAAAAGACGTTTCGCAGCTCAGCCAACAGCAGGGAAAGGAGGAGGGGGCTCAGCAGAAAAGTCAGGCCGTTTTCCGCCGCAGCTCAAGTCAGCAGCAACCAGCTCCCACCCGAATCCAGCCACAAGCTGTGTCTGCTCAGGGCTTTTTCCCTGGGGGAACGTGCCGGGACAGAGCTCCAGAACCTCACTGAAAAAAATCCTCTCATCAGGGCTATTTTTGGGCAGGAACGCACAGGAACGGAGTTCCGGCTGGCTCCCGAGTTGGCCACGCCCAGCAGGAACTCATTAGCATAACGGGCCACACCCAACAGTAGGAACTCATTAGGATTGGCTACATTCGGGGTGTGTGGCCTAACATGCAAAGGAGTTCCTGCTACAAGAAAAGCCCTGGGTTTTGACAACAAACAAGGTAAATAGAATAACAAGCAAAAGGTGGGTGTGGCTGGATAACCACACTTCTGGTAACATGGGGGTGCGGCCTAATATGCCAATGAGCTATGCTGTCAGGGGTGTGACCTAATATGCTAATGAGTTTCTGCTGTTGGGTGTGGCCTAGTATGCTAATGAGTTCCTGGTGGGCTTTTTCTACAAAAAAAGCCCTGTCGAAGATGTTAAAAAGTTTGCAAGTTTTCAGTATACAGACTGAAAACTTCCACCTCCCTCTTGAGAGTTCCAGCGCCTCTTTTTCCAAAAAAAAGAAAAGAAAGAAAGAAAATCCCTGTGTCTGCTTAAACACTCGGGGGGGGGGGGCCCCAAAACCCCCTAAGCAACCCCTGACCCCCCCCCCCCCCCCACTCTCGCCCTGCTCTGGACGGCCGAGCCCCTCCCGCGTACGTACTTCACGTGGGTGTTGGTACAGATGATGTACTCAATCTCGTCCGAGTACGGGTTCTGGAAGGTAAAGGAACTGGTTCTCATCCAGAGCCATTCTCGGTTCTTGGACCGGAAACGGAACATGACGGACAGAACCTGGCCTTTTAACTTCACCACCTGGAAAAACGGTAACGCCGTCAGCTGCAGCAGCGGGAAAAGGGGACGACCCGGGAAGCCCCCTCCCCTCCACCACCTTTCTAAGGAATCCCTGTTTCTCCTCCTCCGCTGAAGCTCGGAAGTCTGTCGCTGGGTTTTGAGGCCGAACGCAAATACACAAAGCTGCCTTATACTGAATGAGACCTATGTTCCCTCGAAGACAGTATTGTCTTCTGAGACTGACAGTGGATCTCCAAGGTCTCAGGCGGAGGTCTTTCCCATCACCTCCTGCCTGGTCCTTTTGACTGGAGATGCTGGGGATTGAACCTGGGACCTCCTGCATGCCAAGCAGAGGCTCTTCCACTGAGCCACAGTCCCTCTTTACAGCTCTCCAGGGTCTCAGGCGGAGGTCTTTCCCATCACTTCCTGCCTGGTCCTTTTTAACTGGAGATGCCGGGGATTGAACCTGGGACCTTCTGCATGCCAAGCAGAGGCTCTTCCACTGAGCCACAGCCCCTCTTTGCAGCTCTCCAGGGTCTCAGGCAGAGGTCTTTCCTATCCCCTCCTGCCTGGTCCTTTGAACTGGAGATGCCGGGGACTGAACCTGGGACCTTCCGCATGCCAAGCAGAGGCTCTGCCACTGAGCCACGGCCCCTCTTTACAGCTCTCCAAGGTCTCAGGCGGAGGTCTTTCCCATCACCTCCTGCTTGGTCTTTTGAACTGGAGATGCCAGGGGTTGAACCTGGGACCTTCTGCATGCCAAGCAGAGGCTCTTCCACTGAGCCACGGCCCCCCTCTCCAGGGTCTCAGGCAGAGGTCTTTCACATCCCCTACTGCCTGGTCCATTTAGCTGGAAATGCCGGGGATTGAACCTGGGACCTTCTGCATGCCAAGCAGAGGCTCTTCCACTGAGCCACAGCCCCTCTTTACAGCTATCCAGGGTCTCAGGCAGAGGTCTTTCCTATCCCCTCCTGCCTGGTCCTTTGAACTGGAGATGCCGGGGACTGAACCTGGGCCCTTCTGCATGCCAAACAAGATGCTCTTCCACTGAGCCACGGCCCCTCTTTGCAGCTCTCCAGGGTCTCAGGCAGAGGTCTTTCCCATCACCTCCTGCCTGGTCCTTTTTAACTGGAGATGCCGGGATTGAACCTTGCCCCCTTCTGTACAAGAAGCAGATGCTCTATGAAGGAGCCACGTCCCTTCCCGATATTGTGTGTCTTGGAAATCTCCCCTTTCCATATGTGACTTTGGAGGGTAATGATTATGAAGGTGGAATGCGGCGTCGTGGTCCAACTTGGATGCCACCCCCACCCCACCCTGCTTGAAAGACACCAAAACTCTTGCTTAAGATCTGGACGTAATCCCGGACCGAAGAGGGCAACAAGTGGATTGTTCCGTGCCGGTTACCTGCTGGAAGCTGTCCCGCAAGAGCTGCTGGTCTTCTGGGTGGCAGAACTCTACGATGTCCTTCCCTAAGAGCTCCTGGCATGGAAGAGGCATCAAAAGTGGCCCTGTGTTAAATGATCAGACAAGTTCTCCGACCCACCCCAAAGCTCTGAGACCCACAAGTCACTGGAGCTCTGCCTAAGCCAGCCTTCCCCTTCCCTGGGAGAACCTCACTCGCTCTCTCTCTTTCCCCCTTGGAAGCATCAATTCATTTGTCGTAAGAAGAAGAAGAAAAAGAGATGGGATTTATACCCTGCCCTTCACTACCCGAAGGTGTCTCAGAGCGGCTCACAATCTCCTTTCTCTTCCCCTCCCCACAACAGACACCCTGTGGGGTAGGCGGGGCTGAGAGAGCTCTGAGAGAATTACTCTTGAGAGAGCAGCTCTGAGGGAACTGTGGCTTGCCCAAGGTCATCCAGCCAGGTGCAAGTGGAGGAGTGGGGAATCAAACCCGGTTCTCCCAGATTAGAGTCCGCGGACTTAACCACCGCACCAAACTGGCTCTCAGTCACTAACTGGTTATATAGAAGCATAGAGCTGGACGGGACCTCCAGGGTCATCTGGTCCAACACCCTTGCACAATGCAGGAAATTCACAAATACCTCCCCCCCCCCACAAACCCCAGTGACCTCTGTACCTCACCTAGAAAATGGCAAAAATAACTCCAGGGTCTCCGTCCAAACCGGCCTGGAGAAAAATGGCTTCCTGGCCCCAAAGTGGCGCTCGGCATTTCCCTGGGCGTGTAAGAAAGGGCCACGAGAACTCAGCGCTGAGGCGACCCTTCCTGCCCTCCCTTCTCGTGATCTGCCCAAGTTCACAGGATCAGCATGGCTGTCAGATGGCCATCCAGCCTCGGACTGAAAATCTCCAAAGAAGGAGAGCCCCCCACCTCCTCCCGAGGAAGCCTGTTCCCCCAAGGGACCGCTCTGTCAGGAAGTCCTTCCTAACTTTTAGCTAAAAACTCTTCTGATTTAATTTCAACCCGTTGGTTCTGGTCCGACCTTCTGGGGCGTTAATTAAAACCCCTTTTGTCGATCAAAGTGTGCGCCCCCAAATATTTCCTAAAAGGTCATTCTTTCGAGTACAAGAAGAGGTATTCCTCCCTGTTTTCCCTCCTCTGCTGGAGAAATGCCTCTCCTGCGACTGCCCCGTCTAAAACCAGAGAAGGACAACTTCCTCCTCAGAACCATATTATCCATGTGCAAATTAATGCCAATTGGCAGCTAATTAACCAATCGAAATGTAGCCGGTCTACCAAGATTTGTGTCCTCGGCTGACAGCCCGATTTCTGTTCTTTTACCCTGTCATGATCTGGGCTGTGCCACCAGAGGCCTACTAGGCCCAGGGAGCCTGCCTAGCAGTAGGTGAGGCTGGGCCTACAACTCCCAGAAGCCCCTGAGAGGTTTTGGAGCCAAAATGGACCAATAGGAAAAGAGGAGGGCTTGGAATAAAAGATTCATTGTTGTACTCTGCCTGGTCCTCACGCCTATTATTCGGCCAAGAGGGAGGTCTAAAGAATGGGGAAGGTGCTCTGGGCCGTCTCAGAGGAGCCTGGAACCAGAGTGGTGGCAGCGTCAGGTGACACCCCACCTGACCTTTGACATACCCACAGCTCAGTTTGAGCCCGGCTCTGTGGTCACTGACGCCATGTGGAATTGGCCGAGATCTCGGGCTATATAAACCTGAACCGCCCCCCCTTCCCCCCCAATCTGGGTTCCTTCACAGAAGCAAAACCCAGGAGGAGAGGGGAAGCTGGCCGAACCAAGGCCTCTTCGGCAAGGAAGCCCTCCCACCTGCGGCTGGTAGCCGACCGTGGCCACGCAGCGATGGTCGACGAAGGTGAAGATGCCGTCGGTGTTGTGCCGGGAGATGAACTCGGTCGGCTGGCACACGGTGCTCATGTCCGCGCAGCTGGGGGAGCTTGTGACCTGCCGGGCAGAGAAAGGGCACCGCGTTGGGGACATGACAGAGGGCACTCCCTCTCCCAGAAGACTAGAACGCGAGGGCATCCCATGAAGCGGATGGGCAGTCGGTTCACGACGGACAAAAGGAAATACTATGGTCACCGTATCTCCAAAACGACATTGCAGGGCTGGAAAAAGTACAGAGGAGGGCGGACCAAGAGGAATCATAGAATCATAGAATGTGAGAAGGGACCTTGGAGGTCATCTAGTCCAACCCCCTGCACCCTGCAGGAGGCATAGCTGAAAGATAGCCCTACACAGAAGAAGAAGAAGAGATTGGATTTATACCCCGCCCTTCACTTGGAGTCTCAGAGCGGCTTACAAACTCCTTTCCCTTCCCCTCCCCACAACAGACACCCTGTGAGGTGGGTGGGGCTGAGAGAGCTCTTGACACAAACGGCTCTTTTTCAAGAACAGCTGTGCCAGAGCTTGTGACTGACCCAAGGTCACATCAGCAGGTGCGAGTGGAGGAGTGGGGAATCAAACCCGGTTCTCCCAGATTAGAGTCCGCACATACCTACAACGTACCCAAAAGATGGTCGTCCGGCCTCCGCTTGAAAACGTCCAGTGAAGGAGCATCCGCCACCTCCCGAGGCAGTCTGTTCCACTGCTCAACCACTCTTACAGTTAGGAAGTTTCTCCTGATATTTACCCGGTAACGACTCCCTTGTAATTCCCACTCATTAGACCCAGTCTTGCAATCCGGAGCAAGAGAGAATAGATCCGCTCCATCTTCTACATGACAGCCCTTCAGATACTTGAAGACTGCAATCGTGTCCCCTCTAAGCCTTCTCTTTCCCAGGCTAAACAGACCCAACTCTCTCAGCCTTTCCTCGTAAGACTCATAAGACTTGCATGATGAGGCGGTTAGAGAACCTTCCCTAGGAGGAAAGGCTGAAAGAGTCGGGGACTTTTCAGTTGAGAAAAGGGATGACTGGAGGGGGGGGGGCATGAGAGAGGTTTATAAAATTATGCATGGGGTAGAGAGAGTTGGCAAAAAGACCTTTTTCTCCCTCTCCCAAAAGAACAGAACTCGAGGGCATCCAAGGAAGCTGTTGGGCAGTTGGTTCAGGAAGGAGAAAAGGAAATTCTTCTTTACATAGAGAGTGATTAAAATGTGGGATTCCCTGCCAGAGGATGTACTGATGGCCACAGGAATAAACACCTTTCAAAGGGGATGATACACTCAGAGGCACCATCGTTGCCCTTCATATGCATTCCAAGGCTGGATCTGAACGTGCCCTGCGAGCTACTTTGTGCCATTTTGGCCGACACAGATTTTATATCGGGTTCAGCCTCTGGGAGCTGAAAGAGATACTTGAATGGTGCAGTGATGATCAGCCAATGACTGCTTTACACCTGGGCCCTTGGGGCACCTGGAGACCCCAGAAAACGGAGCGTACCTGGAGCCTGCCAATGGCCACGAGGCAGAACTTGCTTCCTTGCCCGGCATCCGGTTCGTCATCCGGCAGCGAGACCCCTGAGTCAGAAAAGAGAGGAGTTTAAGTCGGAGGAAAGTGACACGTTCTGCTTGGCACGCGATAAGCAGTCTGCCCGTGAGGATGGCAGTTCTGAAGGATTTCCTACTCACGGGAGAGAAAGCTGGACAGGCACCATGGGTGCAGCTGGCCATTTGACTGGTCAAGAAACCGTCGGGCCAGTAAAAAAGCCTGCCAAACATTGTAAATATGTTTTTCTTTAAGCTCTAGCTATATTTAGAAATGAAAAAAGAAGGATTTTCACCACCGATAGGCTTGACGCGCTTCATCGTCACAAAAAGAAATCCGTTTGCTGTCGCTGTGAAACGATGAAACTAAAGGTGCCACCGGACTCAGATTTAGTTCTCACATCTGTTTCGTAACCCTTTGATTATCTGTACTAGGTATAAGGCCCGTTGTGGAAATAAACACAACGAGCTCTAGAAAGAGGCTCTGGGCGGGCCTTGGCCTTGGGCACTCAGTGTCAATTTGCTGTGGTGAACTCAGCAGGGTATAATGAGAAAGAGTCCACCGTTTTCTCCAGGGGTACTGATCTCTGTCATCTGAAAAGCAGTTGTAATTCTGCGTGAACTCCAGCCCTCACCTGGAGATTGGGAAACACGGTTCCCCAGGAGGAAGTGGCCAGGGATTGAACCTGGGACCTTCTGCATGCCAAGCAGGTGTTCAGTCACTGAGCCACAGCCCCTCTCCACTACTGGTCCATCGAAGTCAGTACTGTCTACTCAGAGTGGCAGCAGCTCTCCGGGGTGACAGGGGGAGGTTTTTCACTGTCTGCTTTTTGGTCACGGCACCTCCGCTATGGTTTAGAACAGCAATGGTCAAAATCACCTACTGAAAAAGCATCTCCCAGGCTGGGAGAGATTGGGGTGGGGGTGGGGTGCCACAGCTTAAGTAACAAATGATCCACGGTGGATGGCCAGGATTTCAACAGAACCTCTGACACGCACGCACACCCCAAAATTTAAAAACCTGGAGCCCCTCGCGGAGCGCCCCCCACATGCCTGAGAAAAAGCCGTTACCTGCCGGGGGCCAGGCTTTGATGTAGCCCGTGCAGTGGACCACGACAAAGTGGGGCTCGCCATCCTTGGCAGCACCTAAGCCGTTCCTGGGCAAGAGAGAGAGAGGGGGGGGGAAAGAAAGATCTGCATCAAAGGGGAGCTCACTGACCTTCAAAGGGAGAACTCGAGGGCACCCAATGGAGCTGACTCTTGAAGAAGAGCCGTTTCTGTCAGAGCTCTCTTAGCCCCACCTACCTCACAGGGTGTCTGTTGTGGGGAAGGGAAGCCGCTCTGAGACACCTTTGGGAAGTGAAGGGCGGGGTATAAATCCATCGTTTAAAACTCTAATTTCACACCCCACTTGGTTCCGGCAGATAGTGTCATGTCTGTCTTATCCCACACATTGCGAACACAAAGGAACACCCTGACTTCATGGTTGTCATGTAGAATTGGAAGTGCTACCTTGTGTTGTTTTGTAAATAGAATATAAATCTTAGAATGTAAGGACAGCTCCTGCATGAGATGGTGCCACGATTTTCAAAAGCACTTGGTCATTAACTTTTGTAACAGCCCGTGCAAAAATCTTTGATCAATCTATATATCTAATAGCCAAGTTGCCCCCGGAGTGCGGATCGCTAAATCAGCGCTCCGGGGGTACTTGGGGGGGAGGGGGAGGTTTGTGCACACGTGGGCCAGTCCCCACGTGTGCACAAAAATGCTAAAAGTAGAAAAAAATTTCAGGGGGATGTTTAAATCCCCCCGAAAGTGCAAGAGCATTCCGTGCGCATGCGCACGGAACGCTCTGTAGCTGACCTCGCCGCCGCCGTGCCACCGCCGCCACCTCCTCTGAGCCGGGCGGGCGGAGGACCCTCAGAGCCGCGCGGGGGGGGATGACCGGCCTCGCCATCGCCACCTCCTCCTCGGGGAGATCGAGCGGGGGGGGGATGGAGGAGACGGAGCTCTTCTCCCCTCCCCGCAAGTATCGCGGGTCCCCGTCTTGTTCTGTATAAATTGGAGTCCTTTGGGGCAGTTCGGGACTGACTTTTGGGATTCAGTGAGACTCTTTTTTCTCTCCTGGAGGCCACCGGTCCGTCCAGGAGCTCCTGTTTGCACGCTTTGTAGGAGAAATCTTTGCCAATTCATTTGCTCATTATCTCTTTAGGAAATAAGACTTGTATTGTTTAAAATTCCGACAAAGCGCCTAGCTGGCGTCTTGCCTGGAGAGCGCTGATACTTGATAGGTTTAATAAAGTTAAGTCTCGTTTTTTCTTTAAAACAACCGTGTAATCGTCTTTAACTAGCCCTGAAAGGTTTCACTCATTCACTCTGCCTTTGATACAGGGGCGTCGCCTAGGCGGAATGGGCCGAGAGTGGGTTGGTCCCATACACACACGTACACATACACGTGTAGGACCATTCCCGTGACACGTGCCGAGCACGACAGTCTGACGATGCCCTGGGTTGCCCGTCCCTGGACAGACGGCACCACCTCACTAGGGCCTGTGTACAGCTCAGGGGTCATTTCGTAAAAAAAGAGGTGCAGGAGCTCATTAGCATCACTCATTGGCATAACTCATTTGCATATGCCACACCCCCTGACATCACCGGAAGTGTGACAGAAGGCAACACCCACCGCTCAGGCTCCACTGGACTGTTCTGGATTGCTAGCTATTGGGGGGGGGAAACATGCAGATCTGCCCTCACAGAGGAGGGAGAGCTTGTACCTGAATAAAACTTGGTCGTAAAGGTGCCACTGGACTGTTTTTGATTGCTAGCTATGGGGGGGAGGAATGCGCAGATCTGCCCTCGCAGAGGAGGGAGAGCTTGCACCTGAATAAAACTTGGTCTTAAAGGTGCCACTGGACTGTTTTGGATTGCTAGCTGTGATGGCGGGAAACATGCAGATCTATCCTCGCAGGGGAGGGAGGGCTCGTACCTGAATAAAACTTTGTCTTAAAGGTGCCACTGGACTGTTTTGGATTGCTAGCTATTGGGGGGAGGAATGCGCAGATCTGCCCTCGCAGAGGAGGGAGAGCTTGCACCTGAATAAAACTTGGTCTTAAAGGTGCCCCTGGACTGTTTTGGACCGGGAGGGCTCTGCAACTTAGCTGGCTGCTTCTTTCTCTGACTGAGGGCTGCCGGGAGCAGGGGGTGGGGCTTGTTGCCTGTGCCCGCCCCCTGGGCTCTTTATTGCCGGAGCTCCGCTCCTGTGCGCTCCCGCAGGAAATGACCCCTGGCTACAGCTTATCGCTGGCCCCGTGACGCCTCCCCGCACGGCCTCCTGCCTTTACCTGCATCGGTTTCTCATAAAGCTGAGGCGGTTCATGGAGACCGGGTCGACCGCGGTGTTGCCACACCTGCAAAGCGGGAGACAGAAAGTCTGCTATTCCGGTCGCTCTGAAATAGACAGAGGCTCGGTTCGGAGGGAGGTCTTTATAAAAATTAACTGTGTTGCCCGGTGTCGGGTAAAAACGGGCTCGTGGCAACCCCTCGCGGGGTTTTCAAGGCCCTCGCCTGCCTCTGCGTAGCGACCCTGGACTTCCTTGGTGGTCTCCCATCCAAGCCGACCCCTGTGGAGGCAACGGCTGCCAATCTTTTCTCTTTAAACTCTGTACAGCCAATCAAATCCCCAGTGGCCGGTCGGAAGCCTGGCTGGGCAGGAGACCCACCTGGCTCCGCCCCGCTCCTAAAAACACTTGGCGGGCGCCCAAAAAGCTGCTGGTGGCGACCAGTGTTCCCTCTAAGCTGGGTGAGTGTGAGCTAGCTCACAGTTTTTTTAACCTCCGGCTCACACATTTTTGTCTCAGCTCAGGAAGGTATGGATCCAGAGCGAACTAAGTTACGCAGCAGCCAAATCGCTCGCTCACGGCTTTAATGCCAGGAGCTCACAAAGCGGGATTTTTGCTCACAGGGCTCCACAGTGTTGGCGACCGTGTTGCCCACGGGCCCCGTGTTGGGGATCCCTGGGTGTTGTCCCCCCCTCCCCCAAATAAAGGTTTTAATAATCTCCCAGGGAGATTAAAGCAGGCTCACGCAATCAGGTTCTCCTGTGCGTTTCTGAATAGGACGCAACTGGGGAATGGCATCGATAAACCCGGAACATCAGCAAAGCGCCTGGAAATGGGATTTCCGGTCGTTACCTCATCCGGCAGATGAAGGACCTCCGGGAACCCATGCACATCCGCATGGACTGCTGCCCTTCCTTCTTGACGGTCCCGGTTTTCAGATCGAGGATGCGACCTGAGGACAGAAGCTAAAGTGAGGACGCTTTTCCTTGGGGGAGAAGCCTGAACGCCACACATCACGCTGCCTTACACTGGATCAGACCCTCGGTCCATCAGAGTCAGTACAGCCTACTCAGACCGGCAGCGGCTCTCCAGGGTCTCAGGCGGAGGTCTTTGCCATCCCCTCCTGCCTGGTCCTTTGTAACTGGAGATGCCGGGGATTGAACCTGGGACCTTCTGCATGCCAAGCAGAGGCTCTTCCACGGAGCCACAGCCCCTCTTTACAGCTCTCCAGGGTCTCAGGCAGAGGTCTTTGCCATCCCCTCCTGCCTGGTCCTTTGTAACTGGAGATGCCGGGGATTGAACCTGGGACCTTCCGCATGCCAAGCAGAGGCTCTTCCACTGAGCCACAGCCCCTCTTTACAGCTCTCCAGGGTCTCAGGCAGAGGTCTTTGCCATCCCCTCCTGCCTGGTCCTTTTAACTGGAGATGCCGGGGATTGAACCTGGGACCTCCTGCATGCCAAGCAGAGGCTCTTCCACTGAGCCACAGCCCCTCTTTACAGCTCTCCAGGGTCTCAGGCGGAGGTCTTTGCCATCCCCTCCTGCCTGGTCCTTTGTAACTGGAGATGCCGGGGATTGAACCTGGGACCTTCCGCATGCCAAGCAGAGGCTCTTCCACTGAGCCACAGCCCCTCTTTACAGCTCTCCAGGGTCTCAGGCAGAGGTCTTTGCCATCCCCTCCTGCCTGGTCCTTTTAACTGGAGATGCCGGGGATTGAACCTGGGACCTCCTGCATGCCAAGCAGTGGCTCTTCCACTGAGCCACAACCCCTCTTTACAGCTCTCCAGGGTCTCAGGCAGAGGTCTTTCCCATCACCTCCTGCCTGGTCTTTTTTAACTGGAGATGCCGGGGATTGAACCTGGGACCTCCTGCGTGCCAAGCAGATGCTCTACCACTGAGCTATGGCCCTTCTCCATGGCTCTGTAAGGACTCAGGTGGAGTCTTTCCCATCAGCCACTACCTGATACCTTTAGCAGGAGGTGCCAGGGATTGAACCTGGGACCTTCTGCATGCCGAGCAGATGTTCTACCACTGAGCCATGGCTCCTCCGCAGTCTTAGGGACACATCTGAAGTTGCCCTATACTGAATCAGGGGGGGTCCCTCTTCCAGAAAGGCTTGCAGTTGAGAAATATTCAACTCGGACCACACCAGGTGGGCCGAGAAAGGCTCGGCTCACCTGTTAACGCATTCTCTGAGGTGGAGAGCTGTTCCCGCAGTTTGTCCACGTCGTCGGGGTGCACCTGGTCGTAGAGCGCGCGGCCAAACCACTCGGACTGGGGCTGGTTCAGGACGGGCATCACTGAGTCGGAGACGTAGACCACCCGGCCGGTCTCGCAGGACACGATGAAGAGGAACCCGTCAGCCGCCTCCAGAATCAAGTGCTTGAGTTCCTGCAGAGTGAACAGATGGGGGCTGATGGATGTCGTCACAGTTGTTTTGGAACCGGCAAACACTCTGAAACGTCTCTGGGCGTGGAACGGCGGTCACCTGGGGGGGGGGGTATTTGCGAATTTCCTGCATTGTGCAGGGGGTTGGACTAGATGACCCTGAAGGTCCCTTTCAGCTCTATGGTTCTGTGATTATCCTCCTGCCAGAACTTGCCGGGGAAAAGCAGAACCTCCTCCTGTTCCCCCCTCCAGGAAGCACCTTTCAGTGATACGGTGCCGGGGGGGGGGGGGAA